AGTGTGTTTTTAGCTTTTAGTGTTTGCGTGCAATATTATGGCTACTGTCGGGACTGTCTGTCAGTTACGGCAATCTAACTTTAGAAGGCAAAACACCGTTGCCCCTTGCACAAAACTACAAACTATCCGGCAAAGGCCAGTAAGTAGAGTGGACAAAATCATCAGCTATGTGAACTCGGCCATCGAGTCGCCGTTTGAGTTTCGGAAAGTGGGACAGAAAAGGTAAACAAAAAAGTATTGAAAGTTTTCACCATTCTGAAACACTACTTACTTGTAGAAAATCAATGACACGGTTTCGCAAAGTGTCTAGGGCAGAGAAAATCTATCGGACTCTTCTGGTGATCATCAACATCGGCTGGCTAATGGTGGCCGTTCTCCTCTTCTGGGCAAGCTACTGGATCCACAATGCCGATCAAACGTACAGGGTCGCCTACAGACTGATGGTGGACTTTGACATTCGCCCCATCGGGTACATCTTTCGAGCGTACGCAGCAGTGATGATCTGCATCGCACTGGAGGGCATCTTTGCGTCGGCCTTCGAAGTGGCTTCCTGTCTGCTGTCGTACATTTGCGGCGTCTGCGTGATTATCGTCTTTACCGCAGTGCTCATCGTGGCGGTCTTGGCCAGGCGAAGCACCCTGGAAAGTCAGCTGACGGAGGGAATGCAGTTTTGCATTGACAACTTTCAGTGAGTTGAACCCTGTCCTGGTGTTCCAATGCAACCCAAAAAATAGCTTAAAACGACGTCTTTGCAGATACGACTTTTACATTGCCCAGGCAGTGCAGCAGGTGCAATACTACTTCGATTGCTGTGGCCTTCACTCTGCTGACGACTGGAGCAAACTGAAGGACGACCAGCAAAGGGCGACACTGCCCATCAGCTGCTGTGGTCAGAAGACCAACGTCACCGACCCAATCACCTGGCTGGACACCTGCTCAGTGGACCAGCAGACGAACATGAATGGCTGCAAAAGCTCGCCCGTCGTCGAGGCCTTCTTTGAGTACGCCTACACTGTGCTTGTTGGGCTCACCCTCCTCAACATGGTCACCGTCTTCATGGCAGGAAAGCTAATCATCATTCTCTGGAAGTGGTAAAAACAATAATAAGGTCTAGGATGTACTTTGCCTGGAACACATGGCTCTCTAGTATTCCTCACACGCACTTTTAATCTGCTTTCATCCTCTGTTCCCATAGTGATTCGGTGATGTACATAGCATTTTTTGTTGACATTAGTAGTGCGTCAATAAATCAAAAGGGCTCATTGAATACTTTAACCAAAACAAGTATTTTCTTTTGTAGTCCTACCATCAAGTGAGTCAAGCACGTAAAATAGCTTGTCTAAGAAAAAAGATTATTTTGCATACTTTGGAAGTTTTGCAAAATAAAAGGAAAAGTTGGTTGCTTTTTACAAATCTGTTTCTAAAAAAGAAAACAAACGCACATAATTAGGTAAAACGCGTACTAAAAATAATTGTCACTACCAAAGCATTTAATCATAAGATCACATTACAAAATAATGAGATCATCAGTGGCGCTCATTCACTAAAGATACCTTCATGACAATAGTTTTAGTTTTTTTATCATCATCAATTAATCTCTACCACAACATCTCATGATGACTCACAGTTTGAGAGTTTTTTCCTGCGCGCATTGTGCAAACATCCAATTGTTTACTGTGGCTAAACAAAAAATGATTGCTTTATACAATTTAATATGAATTATAAAATTGGTTAGTACTAACAAAATTATAAAAAATGTATTTTACACTATAAGTATCTGCTGGTTTAAATGATATATGTCTTGCAATTAAAATGTTTTACTACCGCTTTAAAGCTGTTTCTGAAAAATTTGGTAAATCTACCATAAAAACTTAACGGACGCATTTAGGTCAAATATAAAATAAAGTTTTAAAATGAATTATGTATTTATTGCGTTTTAAAAATTACAAAAATGTGTGCACCATTTTCTCTTAGGAAAGGTAAACCCTTAACCCTTTTTATGACCTTTCTTTGCATTTAAAACCATGACGAAATAGTCCAACTGTTTAGACGCATACTTAGAGCCTTTAATAATCAACACTGATTAAGTCCTTAGCATCCGCTGGTAGCTAGGGTACAGTCATGCATACTCAACCAGGTAGTAAGCGACATCAAACGCCAGTCGTAGTTGTAGAGTCGATATTGCATTCTATCAACTGCAATGGAAGCACAGCTAATCATTAGCAGCAGCAGCAGCTTGGGCGCAAGAAACAAAGACTGCGAGTGATAAGCAAAGCGAGCTCAAGTGCAATCGCTTCTCTCTCACTCTTTCTCCCTCTCTCTGGCATTTACTCACCGAGAAGCAGGTGGTTTACGGGCAACTTTGACTGATAACCGCCCTGCCACCCTACAACAGCTGGTTGTACTGTATAAAACCATTTGTCAGTTGGCTGCTATCCGCACAAGAGAGTTAGTGCTTAGATACAGAAACAACACAAAAATCCTCTATTTACCATTGCCAACCACTCCACTTTGAAAAGTATTTGCTGCCTCTTGTGAGTGCTTCATTAAACTCTTTTTGTTCATTTGTACGACGACCGTCATCCAAACTCAACATCATTTTACTGCATCTGTTTTGCGCACCAAACTAACATCACGCAAAAATGGTTGACTGCGGGAGTAAAATTATCAAAATTCTGCTGGGAGTGTTTAACCTTCTTTGGCTGGTAAGTCATTGACAAATCTTTTTTACTTTTTTTGTACAAAAACAATAACTTTTACTGGTCAACTGTACAGCTACTTGGCGGTGGTGTCATCTACATTGGATACCGACTAGTCAAGTGGGACAAGGAGTTTGATGGAGCAGTCGACCTGGCGAAAATCAACTTCACATCAATTTCCATCGTCATTCTCGGCATTGGCATTGTAATTGCTCTGATCAGCTTTCTTGGATTCTTTGGTGCCTGTTGCGAAAACTCGTTTATGCTTCAAGCGGTAAGTTGATTTTTAATATTTCTAAAGTTAGGTTTAAAATAAGGAATAGCTTTATCGTAACTAAACTTTAGTTTAGTAAAGTATGATAAAGTATTATAGAAATGAAAACATTCTTAGAAGCAGTAGTCACTTCAGCAGGCTTGTACACATATGCACACACTCGATGACAAGTGGGCTTAGTCATACATTTTAATCTGTTGGGTGTTACCGCTCAACACTCACCGCCTAATCCGACAGAAATATGTCAGCCCTCAATCAGCATAACAACAAAAAGTGATAGGGAAAAATTTTGTCAAATCTAGCAAAATATAGTGACATGATTTTATCAACTTCTTTTTATCTCAAAACAGTATGGTTTCCTGATGGTTCTCATGATTGGCGCTCAGATTTACGCCCTTGTTGTTTCAATTAAAAACAATGGAAACGTAAGTTTAAAAAGTTCAGGTTTCAATTTTTTTTCTGCAGCATTCATACTTACTTTGGTTTATTCGTTTCAGATTCAAACTGATATTACAAAAGGAATTAAGGATGCTATAAAGCAAATCAACAAGGACCACAAGACGGCTTTCATCCTTGAAACTCTTCAGTATAATCTAAAATGTTGCGGTGCCACAGGGCGAGGCGATTATACTAACACAACCGACACCCAACTTCCTGGATCGTGCTGCGGCATTAAACCAGTTCACGAAGACAAAGAAAATGAAAAATGTGGAAACAAGACTCCCTATACTGAGGGCTGTTTAGAAAAGCTGCACTTTGACCAGATTCAGACGCTCTTCAAGGGCACAATCGGCGTTGGTGTGGCCATCATTTTGTTTGAGTTCATTCTTGTCTTCGCCGCCTGCTGCCTTGCCCGAGAAGTGAGATATAGTTAGGTGTGAGAAGAATCCTTGACAGTTGAAGACTCCTGAGAGGCGTGAAACGACTTAAGTTATTATCATCACTATATGATCTACCAAAAAGTGATATGCTGATGTGCTTATTAATTGATAAAATAAAACATTTTCACATTTGAGTTGATCTAACTTTTCTTTTTGGTTTGCACTACTTTTTTTATCTTTTAAAAGGTTTTGAAATTAAAGTAAAATGTTACTTCATTGACGTACTAGAGTTTGGGATAAAGTTTGCAAAACTTCAACTGATTAGTCATTTTTGCCGTTGACAAATTGACCATTGGCATGACTAAAGTTCGAAAATGCACTTTGAACCAGAGCTTGAAAAGGATAAAAGGCAGCTCAATTTGCAAAGCTCTACCAATTCAGCGTGTTGTCTTTGTGTTTGCATGCAAGCATCTTTCGCAAGCATCGACAAAAAACAAAAGTAAAGATCAGCTACTTTTCTCCATCAAGTTTCAGAAACTGACTTGAAGATGGCCAGTTGCGGAAGCTTCATCGTTGGAATTGTGCTCTTTATTTTGAACCTTGTTTGGCTGGTAAGATTGCCTAAACCACTTCTTTAAAATCTTCAGTCTTTAAATTTTTCAACTTCTTTTGCAGATTATCTCTTCTACTCTGATTTACCTCGGAGCTCGTATGCTCTTCTGGCAGCATGAATTTAAGTCACTCGAAGAGTTGGCTGACATTAATGTCACCTCTGTGGCTACTTTTCTCCTGGTTCTCGCCGTCATGGGCGCTTTCATTGCCATCCTTGGTCTGTGTGGCATCTGTTGCCGCAATTCTTGCTCCCTGAAAGTGGTAAGTCATTGTCTTACTATAATGCTGTAAATGAGAATAACTTTATTGTTTACCACTTTCTTAATTACACAGTTTGGCTTTCTCATTCTCGGACTGATTGCTTTGGAGGTTGCCGCTGTGGTGATGACCAACAAAGACCGAGCGGTAAGGAAATGAAATCTGTAGACCACTGCACTAACATAATAAATACCTTCTTTGCTAGCTGGTTGACAAGTTTGAAAACGCCACTCGTGAAGCCATAAAGGATCTGCACAAAAACAATACTAAGGGCGACCTGCTTCAGCAGTTTCAGTACTTGGGTCACTGCTGCGGGTAAGTGACATCGAGACAACGGTTGAGTACAAGTATGGTAACATTTCTCTTTGCTATAATTTTGAAGGTCCGCAAGACTATGAAAATGAAACTTTGCCTGTCTCATGCTGCGGCTACAATCCAAGCTCTACAGAAAACGTCAACTGTCCTACTGGGGACAAAAACCACCCAGTGGCTCCAGGATGCAAGGACAACGTCAACAAACTGACCGCCCTGTTTGGCAGCTCGTTTGCCTTAAGTGTAACTCTTATTCTCTTCGAGCTGGCCGTCGTCATGGCTGCCTGTTGCCTAGCTAAAGAGGTACTCTAGCTCAGCTGGTGATTAATAACTTTTTTCTAACACTTTTTTTAATTTTCTTCAAGTATCAACTCGAGGACGCCGGACAGTCCAATTCAGTGTTCTAATTTTTTTGGCAAAGACAAGCAACCGAGATGCACGCCTGGATGGCGTTTTACAAATTTTTAACTCTACTTTATAGCTGTAATTATGACTAAATGTTTAGCAGCATTTTTGCACATCACACTGAAAAAGTGTTACAAAATATTAAAAATTTAACAAATAAACAACATTGAAAAGTTTTTTCACATTTTGAGTTATCAAATACTCGAATAACTACAAGTGCAAATACTGATTGTTACAAATGTACTATCGTTTTCCGGTCTCATTCCAAAATATTTTGGCCCCGTTAGTTTATTTTTAGTATAATAAAGCGCTTTTTGGCTTTTGGCAAACAAAAGTATAGAAAGTGGTTGTACACGTTAGTCGAATGAGAATTTAAATTAGGGTTGAAATATCTCGATAAAATATCGTTTTCCTCGAAAGTTTGCATTGCATCAAATTCTCAGAACACCTACTCAAAAACGCTTACTACTTTAGAGTCATTGAAGATAAAAATCATGATTTTAAAAAAGAAAGGAATCAACTGAAAGATTGAAGGAAGGTGCTTATCTGTTAGATGTTTTCCTAATCACTTAGCACCATCACCTGCTGTGAAACGAAAGAGTATTTTTGATCAGGGCATTTAGTGCATACCACTAGCAGAGGATATCCTCACTGAATTAACTGATTAGAAGATTTATATCAAGTGCATAAACTGAAAAAAACTGTCTGAAACATCCAGGACGTACATGTACATGCACTTTTCGCTTTTTTTTGCTTTAACAAAATTGCTAATACACGAGCAGTAGCATTGGCGGTGTTGTCAGAAGAGACTCAGCCATCACAGTGACAAGTGTGTGAGGCGCGAAACAACTGCTTCACAAAATCATACTCATGGAAAGGGAGCCTCAAGTTAGCATTGCTTGGCGCAATTTAACGCGAAAAGTTAGCCACCTAAATCACTGGCAATGGAGAAAAAAGACCATTCTACAGCGGCAGTCTGGCCACTGTTTAGCCGGTTCACTGACTGGTTTACTCGGCGCCAGTGGCTCTGGTATGTTGTTGTTTACTTTGTTTGTTTTTGTCAAGAAATATACAAAACAAATTATTTAACTTGAACTTATACTTAAATAATAGGAAAGACCACTCTGCTTGACATTTTCAGTGGCAGTACGGCACCTGATTCCGGTCACATATACCTTGGCAGTCACTTGGAAGCGTCTCCGGTGTCGTACTACATTCGCCAGCACGTTCACGAGAGCATCGTCGGAGAGCTTACCGTGGAGCAGATTCTCCGCTATGCTTATGCATTCAAAAATGGAGGCAGAAATGCACCATCTGAAAAAGCTGACGAACATATCAAGAAGACTATGGAGTCGGTTCTCCTTTCACCTGAAATGCTTTCTCGGCCTTTTAAAAAGTGCAGTGGTGGGGAGCAGCGTCGAATTGCAGTTTGTCAGGAGCTGATGGCACTGAGGGCGCCAACTTTTATTCTTTGCGACGAGCCATCAACAGGTATGCTGATTTCAATTAGCACTTTTGAACAATAGATTACCCCCTTTTATTGTCTTCAAAATAGGGCTTGACAGCGCTTCGGCATTTGAAGTGATCTCCTGTTTGTGGCAGTTGGCCAAAACGCAGCACATTACTGTAATTTGCTCAATTCACTCACCAAACAGTGAAACGTTGAGTTTGTTTGATAAAGTGATCGTTTTATCTAAAACTGGTCAAGCCATTTACTCTGGTCCACCAAATGAAATCAAAGATAGCCTTAGAGATAAAGTTCCATTGTCTGATCATCCGCCAATTGAGGTGCTTCTCAAGGTGGCATGTAATGGTATGCTTTGAAGTGCTTTGATTTTGACATTACTTAAATTAAAACAAATTCAGGTACTGAAACTAAACACATCTCTCAACTTGCCATTGAAACTTACCAGAAAGAAGAATCCTTTCTAAACAGACAAACTCTAAGTTTAGTCGACCAGCCATCTGGACTGCCGTGTCCTCGAAAAGCATTCAAAGTGTCTGATTTTTTCATTTCACTGTGCAGACAGACTAGAATTACATTTATCGCACAACTGCAAACTTTTCTTTTTGCACCTACTCTTTTCTTTGCGTATTTCGCCTTCATTTCCAATGCCTTCTCATTTGAAGGCACCGAACGCACCCGGTGCTTAATCAAAAGCACCGACAGCAGCATCAGCAACAGCAACAGCAATTGCACATTCAACGATCCACTTCAGGTGAATGATGCCGAACAGAAGAACATTTACTTTATCACAGTTGTGTTGCTGTTTACCGGTTTTCTTATTCTGATCACCACCACGTCAAAGTGCACAAAGCACCTAAAAATATTTCAAACTGAACATCGAAATTGTAAGTAACTGTCCTACAATCTTTTACCAATTTTGGCAAATGATCTCATCTATCACAATCACCTCTATCCCTTAGACTGGTACAGCGTCGGTGTTCACTATTGGTCTTCAAGTGTGGTCTCCTTCATTGAACTCAACATCAACGTGCTGTTCATATCAGCGTTCAGCTACTTTTTCTCTGGACAGCACCTTGACGAGGAGAAGGTCAACTGGCACCGCCTTGCCCTGTACGCCTTCTTCATCTGGCTACTGTGCATCTACTACCAGGCCGTTGGCCAGCTAGTGGGCACCTTCTTGGTTGACTATCCGCTCATTGCTCTGCTTTTAACTCTGCAAATGTACACCATTTTCACGCTCTTTAATGGACTCTACGTCAAGTTCAATCGAACGGAAAACACGTTTTTTGAGCAACTCAGCAATGGAATAGGTATGGTGTACGTCTCAAGAGGCATTTTCTGGGTGATCTTTGTTTTTGACCGCTGCCAAGGGGAGGGCGAGTACTCTATTGTGGAGGTGGATCAGCAAATTGAACCAGAGAAGATTGGTTTCTATGTGCAACGAGTTCTCGTCAATGTGGTAATTGTCAAACTGTTGACATTGCTCATTATGTACATTAAATTCAACGTTTGGAAAAGAAAAATCAAAAATACTGAAGATGAAATACATGATATAGACAAAAATGATTATAGTTTTGAATCTAAAGATGATTTGGCAATTTCTCTTGGAAACAAACCAGTTATTCCTAAAGAATCTCGTCTGTTGCAGGGAAAAATTGTAATTGCTTGGCGAGATTTAAATCTTTTTAGTACAGGAAGCTCAATCACTGATTTTGGAGAATCTAAAAGTGTATCGCGTCAAAAAATTCTTAACGACCTAAACGGCCAACTTTGCTTTGGTACACTGAATGCAATGATGGGCACATCTGGGGCGGTAATTTTTTATTATTGACCTATTGTTTAGCAAAAAACTAATCATCATTTTTTAAACAGGGAAAAACATCTCTTTTGCGGGTGCTCAATGGTCAATGCAAAACAAGACT